CCCCCAAACGAACAGCTGTGCCCTGTGCTGTTCAAGCAAAGAGGCTCTGCAGTCTAGACCAGTCTGATGAAGGAGTTTAAGCCCAGATCAGTCCTGGGGCAGGACGGACAACCCACCCCCCGCCCCCAGTCACCCAGGGGGGCCCCCATGGGGGGGCAGGTACCACGGGGTACTGCTGGACGGCGGCTTGGCCTTTAGTTTACAGTAAACAAAGCACCACCTGGTGTGAGTTCAGAGCCACGTGCAACCTGCTGGACTAAACGAGGCCCCCACGAGGCCCCCGGCCCCCACGAGGTCCCCGGCCCCCACGCCCCAGTTGCTGTGTGCAGCTTGCAGTGACGTACATAATGTTTTAAAAATCTACCCTGTATAAATGTACATAAACTTAAACCAATTATTAAGTATCCATCCTCTTCCCATCATTCCCATGGACACTGGAGCATTATAATAGTCACTGTAAAAACTCTTTATGTAAATGGGACATTCATTCATCCCTGGTGGGATATTGTGTTTTCGTATACCCTATCCTGCTCTCCATGAGACCACCAGACAGGAGAGAACAAGCCTGGGCGTCGCAGCGTCAGCCTGCCGTACTCCGGAGCTGGGGCCTAAGGCTCATGCTCATGGTCCGAAATCAAAATTACTCTGCCAACTCTGGGATGCAAACCAGGACGCTTCTGACCCACACAACCCATAAGAAAAGCTTTCCTATTTATAACAAGTAAAATAAATAAAAGGGTAACGCACAGCAAGAGCAGCAAGTCCGAGAATGAAGCACCATTCAGTCTCCTTGGATGGCAAACTTTCAGACACACAGACAGACAGCAGCACAGTAAGACGGTGCCACCACCAACTCCGCAGAGGCCGCTCATCCTGTTTGCACTACCTTGGCATCGTGGCAGGCTTAGGAAACGCCTGGAACTCTCATCTCCTGGTGTGTCGGCCTAGAAAGACGCTTGTTTTGTGAAGCAAAGACATAAACAGGCTTTTGGAAGAGCCCAGAGACAGAAACAGGCGTTTTCCGGAGACGCTGATTGTGTGCAGGAAGGGGGGGGGGGGGGGGGTACGATGGGCCTGCCGTGGTACAGAAAAGGTCCTGAGGGATTCTGCTGACATCCTGCACATTTCCGAAGACACTCACCCATATCTGCGCAACCATGACCCTTGAGACTGAACGCAGCAACACAGAGCCGTGTATAAATGCTTTATTCAAAGCATCATGCAGTATCTAATACAGCTACATCACAAATTAATTGCTAGGCACAGCTGCCATGTGCTGATGGATTTTATCAGAGCCTGTTTCTGTTTATCAGAAACTGTGCAAGAAATGCAGTTTCTCTGCTCTGGATCGATTAAGCTTCAGTTTACACAAGTGCTGAAAACATGAGCGAGAGCTCAGTACAGCAGTCTGATCTTCTCCAAAATTCCATAGTCATGCACACATATATATACACTATACATGTCCTTTTCCAGCAAAGTCCTGCACTGGAGAATGCAGCAGTAGCCGGCATGGTCCACAGCCAAAGCAGGCCCCCTTTGGGAGGAGACGGTCTTCCCGGTGAGGAGGAGTAGCTGCCAGGAGCTGGTTTACAGTGCTCCTCCGTGTTTGCCCTGGGTGTTGGGTCACCTTCTGTGAAGATGGCAGCACCAGTCCGGGTTCAGACCACACGGGTCAGCAGTGCTTCTGAGTTAGGCTTGTCCACGCATGTCATCTCAGGCCAGAGAACATCCCCCCCACCCCCGCCTCACCTGAGGCTCGGCAATTCACACCTTCGTGGCCACGGTATGGCCCTCACACTTGTGGCCCTGTGAGGACTGGGAGCTCACAGGAGCCTCGGCATCCTTGCTCAGGCGGAGCAGCTGCAGGCACTGGGTGCGGAAGCGCAGGTCGAAAAAGGCGTAGAGGAAGGGGTTGAGGCAGCTGTTGACGTAGGCCAGGCAGGTGGCATAGGGCAGCACCGTCAGCAGCCAGCTGAGGAAGCTGCAGGAGCTGGGCGCCAGCTGGAGGTAGGACAGAGCATCGGCGGTCTTCAGCATGTGGAAGGGCGCCCAGCAGACGGCGAAGACGGCCACCAGGGCGCTGATGATCTTCAGCAGCCGCCGGCGCCGCTGGTCCTCCTTGTGCACGGCGCCGAAATGGAGGCTTATGGCGCGGCCAATGAAGCAGTAGCAGATGGTCATAGCCAGGAAGGGCAGCAGGAAGCCCAGCAGCGTGGACGAGAGGCTGAGGCCGGCGATCCACATGCCCTCCTGACCTGCGTCCGTCATCATGGGACTGAAGTCCATGGCGCAGATGATACGGTCGTGCGAGTCACTCAGCGTGGTGCGGAAGAGCAATGTGGGGGAGGCAAGCGTGACAGACAGCAGCCAGATGGCCCCCAGGGAGCCCAGCATCGTCCCTTTGGAGCGGGGCCGGCCGGCCGGCAGCGGTCGGACGATGGCCAGGTAGCGGTCGAAGCTCATGCAGGTGAGGCAGAAGACGCTGGCGTACATGTTGAGCATCACCACATAGCTGCTGATCTTGCAGAGGGCCACGCCAAAGGGCCAGTGGTAGCCGAAGGCGGTGTAGACCGCCCACAGCGGCAGCGTGACCACAAACGTGAGGTCGGCCAGGGCCAAGTGTCCGATGTAGACGTCAGCCGCCCGGCGCTTGGACTCGGACTTCCAGACAGTGATGATGACGAGCCCGTTCCCCGACAGCCCCAGGATAAAGATGACCATGTAGAGCACGGGTACGAGTGAGTACGAAGGTCCCCACTCTGCATACTCACACGAGGTTTCGTTGTCCTCAAAGTAGTCCCCCTCCATCTTGGCCAACTGGAGCACTGTTACTTTTCAAAATGAAGTGTCTTTTCCTTTGTTGTTTGTCTGATCAGGAAAATAAACAGGGAGAAACCACAAGCAACAATGAAGTAGAAAACAAAGACTCTTCCTGCAAACTGTAAAGGCGCCTTCCGGTCACTGGACAGCGAGCTGCACCCAGAGCCCAGCAGGTACCGCGTGCGTGCGCTGGCCCCTTTTAAAGCTAGTCGGCCCCGCCCACAGCCCCGCCCCTGGGGCCTGCATCACAACCCCTCCCTCTCACACATTTCACCTCATTTCAGTCATTGCTTATATTTATTTCATATCTATTTAATATATTTATACTTTAGCCGTATGTAATGTTTCAACCATTTTGCTTATTTTTTATTTATTTATTTATTTGTTTGTTTGTCTTATTGTCCCTACAGTACCTAGCCATACTTTGATGCTTGTGAGTGCCGCGGATTTGTTTTGTGCTGTCTAATCCTGTTACATGTTGCTGACTGGATGGCACGAGTAAGATTTCCCATGTACTGATGTACAAAAGGCAAATAAAAAAATTGAATCTTTATGCATTTGTCTGGGGTACTGAACCACAAAAATATTTTAGTTAGAGAGACAGTGCTCCCAGAATAATTACCACTGTAAAAACGATGATCACAAACAAGAAAAAAAACATATGGGCACATGTTTCCGCATGTATAAAATAATATATCTCGCAGCTGACATCTGTCTTACTACGTTTTGGATTCAAAACGATCGACTCTATACCAGATTTAGTGTGGTCATAAATTTAAGGCAACTTTTATCTTTATACGAACACGTATGTGAGAGCGAGGTACTGCGAATAAAGTAACGTGTCGCCCGAAACGAGACGCTGCGTGTCGGACGGCAAGTCGGGACAAGTTATAAAATGATTTTAATGTGAATGGGCGGCTGTTGTACTGGCGCGGACTTGGTGTGAAACGCATATAGGTGTGGGAAGCATCTCGTCAGGATCCGGAGCATGCCGGCATCTCCTTAAACACTGCGACAATTTCAGCATGAATACCCCAAGAATGAGATAGATCAGTGCATTGTATATCTTTGGTTGTACAGGTCGATAAATATGACCAGTTTATACCTTAAGTAGACCTTCTGTGATTAAACCAAAATTGTAAACCACAAACTGACAAAGAACCCGTGACGTTCTTTATTTGCATTGTTTACAGCGTCGTTTACAAAGAAACTAATCAAAATAAATACAATATTAGAGTGCAAAGAGAAATTCATAAATATAGAATCAGAATCTTTATTATCGTTGTATAAGTACAACGAAATTGGATGCAGTCTCTTTCAGTGCAGAACCATTTTACTAAGCAAAAAAAAAAGAAAAATAACCGAACTGGATTTCAGTTCAGTTTAATTTTAGTCTTTTCCTGATAAATTTATTACTATCATTTCAAGAAGGAAATAAATAATAAATAGCATATTAAACTGTTCAAGCAGTCTGACTTTTTTAACCACGTCTGGATTCTCTCTAACATCAACCGTTTAAGAAACTTCCAGTGATTCGCAGCAGCAAGCGGTTGGTCGTGGCGCCTCGGCAGCCGCGCTCCGCTGACGCAGTGCTGATGTCAAACGATCACACTGATCGTGCCGCCTATTTGTGCGTTTCTCCGTGCATAGCGATCGTGGTCTGTTGCGCGTTGTTGTAGAATTTTAAAGTTGGAAAATTATTTCGCTTCCAGCCGGCTCGATTTTAAACTTGTCAAACTGTTTTGTTTCTGACTGCTGCAACAGCTAAGGGGCCCACCGGGAATTCTCCCCAGTCTACCAGTTGGCCACTCCAGGCGTGGAGGTCACCCGTGTGCCGTAATTAGGGAGAGGGCACCGCTGTACCTGTGTTTGCTGTTATATATCCAAGCTGACCAATTTACTCCACAGATTCATCGCTCATCAGTGGGCTAAATGTGGCGCCAAGAGCTGTTCAACTCAGACACAACTATCAGTCAGCACAGCGCCTCTGAGTGCCTCTCCCCTGGCCCCCAGATTCGGTGCCTCTGAACTCAGCACCCCACCCCCCCCCAACTAAACAGGGAGCAGGAAGGATGAATGAGCTCATTCAAAATCACACTTAATTTCTTTCCCGTTTGTGAAATGGCATCAGGGAGAGGATGCAGAGCATGCAGCCGGCCTGAACATCCCGTTTGGAAAAGCCAGCGCCAGCACCCGTATTTAGAGATATGGATAGAGGCTCGGCGAAGACAGACCACACACAGAGTGGACAGACATCTGCTGCGTGACCAGCTGTGAGCTGGTCTGAGCTGTAATCGTCTCGGCCTGCAGGCGGCCATGTGAGCCACGCACTGCGGAGTCCCGCAGGGAGAGGGAAACGCCCCTTCAGCGCGGCCGCTAATCAGATGCGCTTTCTGGTGCCCGAATGCTTTGGCTGGATGTCAGCGGCCCACTGACACAGATCCGGCAGGCAAAGCTGCATGTTGTGTTTCCCAGCATTGCGTTTACCTGCGGCTGAGCTGGGTCCATGAGGTCCAGCCCACCCTTTCCTTATTTGGCCATGGAATTAACCCTGCTCACATGAACCCAGTCTCCATGCGTCTCTCGAAACCTGTGCCTGGGATTCTGGGAGTGTAACCCACAAAATGTCTCCCCCCACCCCTGCCCCCACTCCCCAGGACTGACCTCCTTTTCAAGTGTGACTCCCCCAGTACTCACAGGAAGTACTTGGGGATGAATCCTGGGCTCCGTGCGGTATGATGCCAACAGACGCTATATGGTACCCTGGTCATGCTGTGTGAGAATAAGTAATGACATCAGAGGCGGAGGGAATGTGGAGTAAATGGGGCGGACGCAGGTACCTGAGGAAACTCCCCTTGTACTTAAAGGTAAAACACAGTAAAACAGGCAGCGTAGGGGTAAAGATGTCTCAAAGAGTTTAGTCATTTCTGTGGGAGGGAATCCGAAACATTCAGGATTCGAAAAACCAAGAAGTGACAATAGCTCATGTGATGTGAAGCCATTCAAATGACACGCAGCTTCACGTCTCATGTGATGTGAAGCCATTCAAATGACACGCAGCTTCACGTCTCATCATGGCTGCTCATCTTTACACAGTCCGTGTGACAGTCCTGACGTGCCAGAAGAAGCAAACGGGATTCTGCCGAGGGGCCGCTTCAGAAACACAAAATGTCCCCGAGCTCCCGGCCCACTCACACAGGCCTCCTGATTGGCTGCTGCTTATGGGCAGGGGGCTCCAAGGGTCTTCGGGTATACAATGGCAGGATGGGACGTGTCCTCTGTGGTGTTCCAATCGGCACATCCATCTCATTGTGTTTTCTTTCAGCATTTTTTGCATCATAAACGTTTTGCAATCATTTCTGATATGTCCAAAATGCCAAGTTTTGGAATCGTTTTGGGGATCAGCAGAATGCCTCTCAAAATGCCAGAGCTACTATCCACTCATTCTGAAATCAAAAGGACTTGCTAAAGCAGGAAGAGACACAGCCCCATAGGACCAGGAGCAGAGCGATACACGTTCCTGCACGTTCCTGATGGCTCCTCAGGATCAGCACACACACGCATCCTCACCAAGGTGCAATCAAACTACACATTAACAAAAAGAGCTTTTTGTCATTTGGGTGCATTTAGATGGATGGACAGACAACCTCCTGTAACGTCCCATCGAATCATCCAGTCCAAGGTGCCCTTCCTTCTTATCTGTTTACCCCAATGACATGGCCGAGGGTGACAGGCAACGTTTGTGTGTCCGTGTGCAGGCAGAGCCAGAGAAGCACTCAGGAAATAAGCTGACAGCTGAACAATGATAGGAAGACACTGTTGTTGACACAGTGATTAATGCTAAACATAGCTCCCTCCTACCCCCCAAAATCTTGAGCACAGCTCATAAACCCCCCCCCATTTTCCTGCAGACTAGGTCTCCCTAGAAGGGGGGGGGGGGTGTATTAACTAACGCACTGTTCTCCAGCCAGACCTATGCATTCATCATGTTCCTTGGGTCGGTTGAGAGAGACAGACAGACAATGATAGGGTGCCGAAAAAAGAAAAAAAACTTTTATTAAAATTCTTAGTCTTGACTAACAATCAAAGCACAAGAAAAGTATTATGCAGAGATAGAGAAATACAAAAGAAAATCTTTGAAAAAGAACAAAAACAGTTTATATAAATAAATCGTCAGAAGAGGGCCTCGGTTACCAGGGCAGATGCCTAAATGTGACATTTCTCTCTCCATGTGACCTCAGAGCTGTGCTGGACAAACAAAGTGCCAACAAAACTCACATGACGAGTCCCTCCGACCAAACTGTTCTTCTCTGTCAGGAATGGGGGATATGGACGGTCAGGGGAACAGCCAATCAGATTCCTCCAGCAGTGCATAAGAGTGACGGGCAGATGCCGCAGCCTGTAGAGTAAGAGGCTCTCTGCTGCAGCACCACGAAGCCCAGGCTGTCCCACTCACTGGGCTCAGATTTCACCTCCATCATATCACCACGTAATCTGACCACTAGCCGCACCACGGAACAGAGGGCAGGACACAGTCTCTCTACATGATGCCAGGGACAGTCACTCCATGCCCCCTCTGTCCAACAGTGGCCCACCCTGAGACTTCAGCATGGGGGCAACAGAGCCCCCCCCCCCCTCCACAGTCTGGTCTTTCTGGAGCAGAAAAGCTGGGAGACAGATGCAGATGATTCCATTCAAATGTATTGATATAGCGCCTTACACAAGCGGCCCTGTCCCAAGTGTGAGCTCCTCAGGGAAGAGTGACAATGGCAAGGAGAGTGAGGTAACCACGGGAGGAGCCAGACTCGAGGGGAATTCCATCCGTCTCTGGCCTTAAGTTCACTTAAGGTTCAAACTCAGTTCGTTTCCCATAATGCACCGGGAGATGCTGAACAATGCCGATCTGTAGAGTTAGATCTAAAAATGCACAAAACAGCACCTCTGACAGAGCAGAAGCCTTCACACAGCGCTCAACCTGACCATGCGCACGCAGAGTAACATCAATGCAGTGCTCATAAGGCCAGACGAACATCTAAAAGGCAGCAAGCAGACCTGCCAAGCAGTAATTCCGGGATCCTAGCTGGAGTCTTAATGCAGAACAATGAGTTTAATGTTATCAATAAAAATAATGGCAGGTTTCTCACCGAAATGGTCAACAAGTATCTGAAGTACAAAATCCTTGGCAAAACCACACAAGTAACCTGACAACAGCATGGTTATGTTTCAAACTGAGGAAACAGTAACCATTTTATGAGCCTCTGATTGCTTCGCGTACATCAGCTTGCAGCACCAAAGGACTTCAGAAGAAGGATTCCGACAGGCTATTTAATTACCTTACCAAGGGTGGCTGTGACTGAGGGCAGGCAGGTCGTGGCTAATGCAGAGAAGCTAGCTCTCTTACTACACGGCAAAGCGCCCTGTGACACACGAGCCGCACATTAAAAAGCTTCACCTGCAGAGATTAAAAGGCACGAAGGCACGGATCCGTTACCCAAAGCCACGCCGGCCGCCCAATCACGCTCCAGCATAAAGGGGGGGAGGGGGGCTGAGGGGGGGCTGCACCGCAGCTGGCCGGGCAACAGGCCAAGGTCTCAGGGAGGCAGGTGGCACAACGGCCATCAAGAACAGATCCAAATCTCTGGAAGGGAGCTACTGTTGGACCTTGGAACAGGAGACACGTCCCATCTGTACTCGGGTAGAACATGCCAGTTCATGAAACAAGTTGGGTAAACATGCAGCTCGGTTAATCTGAAGGGACAGGGAGGTGCTGCTCCGACAGAAACAAGGGAATCTCTGGTGCAGCTTTCGAGATGCAAATAAGGTGCAAATGGACAAGGATCCTGAAGACAATGGCAAAGGGCAGCCCAGTGGACGAGCCGGGGAGCGAGTCGGCACATCCGAGCAATTCAGGGAGCAAGAAGGACGAGATCACACAAACCCAAAGCGGACTACATGGGAAATAAAGCCCAAATGCCCATTTATGGTGGGAAAGCGGCAGGTGCCTCCCATCCGTCATCGGGAGAGCGCAGTGGGCACCCAGGCATCGACATGGTTGCATACCTCCTAACTGTGACGGTGCAGCCACCTAAACATGCTGAGATAGAACACAGTGAAAAGAACATGGCAGACAGATGGTGCTAATGGTTTTTATTTGAGCACATACAAGGTTCCTGTGCACAGGAACAGCATCGAGTACATCATTGTGTTTTTATCCCCAGGTTAAAAAAGTTATTGCAATTGTTACAAAAGTAGAAAAACGAGGTCTTTGCAATGCCGCTCTCTCCGAGCATGCGTCTGGCACGGCCATTCATCACACCCTCGAGTGAAAGAGGAGGCAGCTCTACGACTAAACGGCGTGCGAGTGAATGAGCCCCAGACCAAGGATAAAGAGCCCTTTTATGTCGCCTCTCCGGTCAGGACATCCGTCTCCAGCGAAGAGCCGGCCATGACGCCCCCGAGCCCACCTGCCCCGGCTACGCCGTGGGAACGAGCCACTCGCACGCTCTGAGCACTAGGCAGACCTGAAGGTTAGTGTGCACCCTCGGAAGTTAGTGTGGAGTAACCGTGGAGGTCAGTGTTGGCATTAGCTGGAGCGAAAGCCAGGGTTACGCTTAGGACACGGCAAGCAGGGGGGGATGCATATGCGGACGTGGGCTTCGGGCGCATTCCATTCGGGCGCGTTCCATTCGGGCATGTTTCAGTGCAGGTTCCCTGGCTGCGAGGGAGCGGGGAGCCAGAATAACGTGCTTACAAGTGGACAACAGGTGGACAATTACATTGGAACGTTCCCCACAACCCCTTCACAAGCCCGGGATCGGCAGTGGGGGAGCGCGGCCCCGGGGTCGGCCGTGGGGGAGCGCGGCCCCGGGGTCGGCCGTGGGGGAGCGCGACCTGCCATCGGCTACCCATAAAGCTAGGTATTATCTGGCAGATAGGAAGCTTATGTGTTGCACTGTATAATAAAAGTCAATACAAAAAGATTCTCACTGAAGATCACTTTGTGTTCTGGAGCTGTCAGAAATGCACCAGAAACAGATATGGCTAAATGGCTCCCCCTAGTGCTACAGCAAAGAAGCAGACAACACGTTGTCCAGAGCTCCTCCTGCAGTCATACTTGCTAAAGCAAAACCCTCGGTGATTCAGCCACATATCAAAGTTATCTGCTGCCCTCCCTCCCCAGTTCCAGTGGCCAGAACCAACAGGCTTAGATCCCGACCGTGCCCCATGTCGGCAGCTCTTCTAGGTTAAAGCATGGCATGTGGAGGGGGATCAGTTCTGCAGGAATGTAGTAGCGGTCCCAGATCTGCTGCCTCAGTGGTTCCCAGTTGCAATCCCACATGCCACCAGCTGGGCGGCAGTAGGTGCAACTACAGGTAGGTGTCCTGCTCGCTGCTGCTCAGGCTCAGGTCAGAGCCCCGCAGCCCCGTCTTCCTTAGGATGGGATGGGGCTCACCATCTCCCTCAGGGAGAGCTGGGGGCTTGGAAGCGGGCTGAGGCACCCCCATGACGATTGTGGGCTGCTGCTGCAGGTGCTGCCGGCTTGGAGGCTCGGCCGCCATGATAGCCCGGGCACCGTGCAGCCGGGGGGGGGACCTGCAGTGCAGCTCGCCATGCGTCTCCTTCCAGCGGCGCAGCTGGACCTGATGCTCCTTCTCGACATCCCGCTCGGACACGGGAAGCTCCAGGACCTGGGAGACAGAAGGCAGGGGGACGGCAGGGGACAGGGACAATAGAGGGACAGGGTGGCAAAGACGGAATAATAAAGGAGAAAGAATGGAGAGCAACAGTAAACAGAGCAGTTAGGGACATAAAAGTCAGAGTTCATCACCAAACTTACGACCCCGGGACGCACGGGCAAGTTAACCCTAACTTAAGGTTGGGCAAGTTAACCCTAACTTAAGGTTGGGCAAGTTAACCCTAACTTAAGCCCCTGCCAGAAGCCCATGTGTCTATCCACAGAACAGCTCCACATATCTGATCTCCTTCTTGTGCCCTTCGGCTTTTTAGCTGCTGGATTTAGGCTTTTGTCAAACACACTTTTTCTCCACTACCTTCATCCTGTCCCTGGAGACCACGTATGATAGTCAAAAACAAAAACGCAGTATTTATCTTTCACCACCAGAGAGCAGCACACACCACCATGACCCTACCTGCTGGACGAGGAAGGAGTCCTGCATGTAGCGTGGGTCTAGGGCACGAAGCAGCTCCATGGTTTCATACTGGCCCGGACATGCCTTCAGCTTCTCTGGCGTTCCCAGCATGCTCCGCAGCAAGACCAACGCCACCCGGAAAATGATCTTCACCCCTAAGGTCAAGAAGCCAAGATCAGTGTTTCCGTTCCGCTTCCAGACAAATGGGAGAAATTCTGGTCAAATATCATCTGTGCTTATTATTGAGTTTAAAAACAACCGAAAGACATGAAATATAAAGAATGGCTTCATAAATGCATTTTGGAAAAAAAAGAAATCAAAGCATTTTGGTATATAATGTGTTTTTTTGAAAAGTAGGCTATTTCAGATAAAATAAGTTCTGTCAATTACATTCGTAAAACATGGACATATGACAGCTACATTTGTGGCAGGCTAGCGTGTGATTAGCATGTGAGTGGCATGTGCCCGCCCACGGCACCCTCACCCTCGCAGAAGAACATGTCCCAGATACGGAGCACGGACGCCCAGGGCAGCGTACGCGAGAAGGCGCACATGAACCACTCAGTCATGTACAGGACGGGCTCCAGCTTGTGTTTCTTCAGGTGTCGGTGAGCTACAGGGGAGAGGCGGCGAAGCAGCCCGAACAGGATCTCTCCATCCAACTGGATCGCCTCCTGCAGGCCGGTGGGAGAGCAGCACACACATCTCAACACGCAAGGAACCTGGAGTGTTCCACGCTCCCAGTCTTGCTAGTGTCCGTGATAAATCCTGCCAGGACTTACGATTACTCAGTTAAACTAGATTACTAGTTTTTTTAAAAAAGCATTGTTTAAAAATGTATCTTCCCGATAATTCGGTAATATGGTGGAAGGAAGACAGAGTAAAGCGAATGAGTGTCCAAATAAAATGCGAGGGAAAGCCAAGTACTTCACAACAGCATGACTGCAACGCAACATCTTAAAAGAAAATACTCACAGACACAAATAAGATCGTAGATCACAGACGTAGATAAGGTACATAACAAATAAGGTACAAAACAACCACATAACACACAGCATTCAAACCCAGAGACTTTGTGCTTCAGCCACAAGCTCCCAGTCTGTGGACGAGACCTTTTCCTTCGGAAGACTTAAGTGGAAGCTAGACAGACTGGGGGTAACACTGAAGCCACAGAGCACTGCACTAACGATGGGGTCAAAGGTCAGCCTCACCAATCCAGCGCTGTAGTATCCAGGAAGGTACTTCTCACAGATCTGAACCAGGCCCCAGAATGCATCCTGTCAAATGAAAAGATGATCTGTACTAAACAGTGCGGCACGGGGAATAAGAACTCATCTGCAGCATACCAAAGTATTCTGAGTTATATGAACGTACCATAGGGTGAATATTTACCACACTATACTGAGATATGTATACCTACAGCAGGGTGAGTTTGCTGCAGTATACAGCATTACACACACGTAGAGCAGGGTGACGGTTTGCCGCAGCATACAGCCTTATACACACGTAGAGCAGGGTGACGGTTTGCCGCAGCATACAGCCTTATACACACGTAGAGCAGGGTGACGGTTTGCCGCAGCATACCGAGCTCTGCACACACAGGGCATTGCACTTACTTCGGCGGGCATGTGCATGAGCAGCACAGCAGCGACAGGAGCCTGTGCCTGGCAGTAGCCCTCGTCCGGCCGGTACAGGGTGTAGGCCTTGAGGACGCGGTTCAGGTCCTGCTGGCTACACAGGGAGCAGGATGAGAAAGCAAGCGGTGATGCAGATAGGGGGCACGGCACAGTGCCAACTGCTCACCCGTGACCGCCACGTGCCATGAACATCTCATGAAAGGGAAACTGTCTGTGCAGGTCCCGCTCGATGACGTCCAGCCACGCCGGGTCCCCCGGCAGCGCATCCAGCTCCTGCGGACAGCACACACAGCACCGAGGATGACATCATCTGCTAAATGCATAAACCCCTTTTAGGGAATTCCAGTGAAGATCACAGTGGACTCCCAATGCACCATGGCGAGGCGTGCAGGGCTGGCAGGCATACCTGAAACTTGCCCGAGTTCTGCTCACGCTTCACTTTGGCCCCAGACAGGTAAAGCCAGGCACGTCCACGCAGTGAGGGTGGGATTCCCTTCTGACAGCGCACCTTCACCTGGCGGGGGGGGGGCACACTGCAGTGAGCACCCACCAGCACACTCACTCCCTACTCACATGAGCAAACTCACACATTCAGAAGGAATGTCCTGCAATCAATGACTGGGTCAGGGTCACACTGGTGTAGGGGTGAGGGAGGGAGGGACAGGCAGAGCAGCAGGGTCATACTGCGGGGGGGGGGGGGTCTGGCAGAAGGGAGAGCAGCTCTGAGACTCACCTTGCGGTGCCTCTTGGACATCCACTTATCCCAGTGATTAAGCATGTCCAGCCACTTGGCCTCACGCTGACGCAGCACCTCTGGGGGGACGTCTTGGGTTCTGAGGAGACAACAGGCAGATTAGAGTCCGCTTGCGGCTGGGGGTGCAGGAGGCCCAGAGACCCAGCGGCTCCACGTGTGCAAAAGCTCACCACAGCACATACAGTTCAGAGAGAAGCGCCAGTCACTGACTGCAACCCCTGGGGCCACCGTGTGGATGAATGGAAACCAGAATTACATCAACGTCTGGGCCAGAATTTAGAGAGCATCATGCTAGAAAACCAGCCAGCAGAGCTTCCAGTAGCATGGAACACCGACAATCTCTTACGGCTCCAGAAGCTGCAGTCTGGGAGACCAACAATTAGTCTAAGTCACACACACAGGCAAGTCAAAATGCACGCGGGTCACTAATCCAAGGTCGGCAGTAAAGGTTTTCAGAGGGAGAGGGTCACATGGGCAGGGGGGTGATTACACACTCTCGGCAGATTACCACAGATCAGCAGATTACCAGGATGGGAAGAGGGAAAGGCGGCACCAGGAAACAGGCAGCAAACTCAGCACATACAGCCAGGCAGGGAGTAAGCCCCACCGGACACACGTGCCGAGCACCACAACAGCCTGACAGGCACACACAGCAAGCCAAGCCCATACAACAAAACATGCCAATACACCAAGCCACGCCCATCGTGTTTCCCAAACCACCTGGGTGCCTGGCACTATAGCACGATTACAGAAAGAGGCAGGCAGTATATCCTCCTGTGGCCTGTACTACGAAGCAGGGTTACTGGACTATCGGGGTAACTTGTCGGATTTAAGGTAGTCTGGGCGAAATGTAAGTGAACGAATATTAAGTCCATTTAAACTGTGGTACCTTAAATCCNGTCGGATTTAAGGTAGTCTGGGCGAAATGTAAGTGAACGAATATTAAGTCCATTTAAACTGTGGTACCTTAAATCCGACAAGTTACCCCGATAAGCCAGTAACCCCGCTTCGTAGTACAGGCCACTGGTGTCTCAGAGGATAGTGGTTAAACACAGCAAAATACTCCCCAGTGAGCTACAGCGGGCTTTTTTGCCTCTCCCACAATGCCATGCAGTCACGCAGACTTCTCCGCAACAAAAGCAGAGCTGACTGTCAGGAAATGAGATAAAGTTTAATGCCAGTGAATTTGAGCGCTCCCAGAAGAATGCTGATCTGTATCACCAGCGGGCCGAACGGCTCCGGTACACAAACAGAGCACCGCAAACTGCACAGCCAATTAGCAATTACGCACGTGATTCCGACCAATTAGGAGTGCGCGACTGAAGAAGCAGAACCAATCTGATCATCCCTCCTAAACCGACTGGCATGTGTCGGTCTCATGTGCAGAGATCTCGGCAAAACAACTTATCGTGATTAACCTCTCAGATGGAGGAATTAAGGCGAAGGAGATGAGCAACAATAGGAACCAGTCGACGTCAGCGCTGGAAATGCATGATGCGAATACATTCTTACAGGTAGACTTTGTCCCAGGACACATACTCCGATAAACCACGGCATATGACGAGGGAGTCTAACCTGAACCCACGTGAAGAAACAACAAGTCCGTACAGCTGCGGGAATCAACTGCACGGACCCCGGTTATGGCGGTTATAACCATCACACGGCTGCATGTTAATGGTTAGATGAGGTTAATGGTTAAACAGAAGAGCCTCTTACAGCAGGAGCACTGCAAGCCTTAACCAATGCCGTGCCAAATCAATCCCATCGCACCATCCTAAAAGCGAGAGTCACTCACGGCTGTGCACAGCCGGACAGGACCAGAACCTCTCCCGGCCCTGGGACCAGCGAAGTCCGGCTGCGTGATCCAGCTGATCGGAGCAGGGCGTTCGTGGGCGCAGTGCAGATTGCACCATGTTTCACTCACGTTGCCTTGTTTCTAGGGGTAATAAGGTGTCTGTAAGCTGTGTTCGCTAAACCCAGGGTCGCCAACTTCGGCCACTTTTCATGTAGCAAATGCTTTATAATGGAACGAAAAGTCCGAAAGCGTGAGTGTCACGCCAGATTCTTGAGAGCTCGGTCCCCAGCTGTTCAGAAGGACCCGCAGGAAGATACGCGGAGGACCGGCGACAAGAGCCAGATCGGCACCCCCTGATACTTACACATAGTTTGAGGTCTGCTGCGGCCCGCCTACGAAACCGTATTTATCTGGGCTGAAGTCGCCGGCCTGCGGGGCGCCCTGGGAGTCTGGCTGGGGTCCGTTTCCTGGTGCTCGATCCATGGTGGGGCGGGTGCTACAGGGATCAGGAGGGTGGCGGAGGCTTGGCGAGTCCCCGGCAGCAGCGCGTAGCTCGCTGCCCCGGCATCAGGCAGACCGAGGCGCGGTCCCGTCAGACGCGCCGAAAAGCCCCGAGCCGGGCCGAGTCACAGCTCACACGCGCCCACCGGGACTGCCGGCAGCGATCGCACACTGGTCCTTGTGCCGAGACCCCGCCGAGCGTTCATTCCTGTTAAACGCTGTGGCGATGCTGCCGTGAGGTTGGGGACACCCCAGGCGGCTTCGTCTCGGCTCCGGCCGCACTTCAAACACTCTTCCCAGGCGTCGGTAGGGCCGCGTCCGATCTTCGGATTTCGGACTTAAGCTTCTTTTCGGCCCGACGTTACTACATGCCACCCCTAAACCGCCGACCAGAAGCTACGATTAACATCAATGTAACGTTAAAGCTAATGCTATGCCAGTCTCCGGTGGCGCTCGGGAGGCGTGTCCGAACATGCGCAGTAGACGTGCCGGCTGTGAGAGCATCGTGGGGTGCGGTTCGAACCCACATCCTTTATCGTCCCCGAGAGTTATTAAAACTATCACAACATTCTTAAATGCTCGTATATTTGTTAAACAGAGCACGAAATTCGTGAACATTTATTATTCATTATGATACACTTGACCTCGACTATTTAAAAAAAACATATTTTATAGTTCATAGTGGACTCGGTTTATTTCCAACGTATTACTGGACTCGGTAGTTTTGTGGATTGGAAAATTAATCAATGAAAAGCAGATTATCGGTGAGGAGTTTTCTCAGTTTCAGACCAGAATGGCAAGTCGAACAAGCACGCAAGCAAATATGAAAATTTAAAATCCATGTTCTTTTAATATTTAAGATCTAGAGAAAGAACACAACTCCAGGTTTCATTGCAAGTATAGAATCCAAAACCATTCCATGATCTGGCCAAAGTCAGGACAGTAACTTTGATTCTAAGTAGAAACATGTGCTGTCTGTTCAAATGGAACCTATATATAAATCTTTCTGTCTGATTCATATTATATAAAGCTATACAGCAGCGTTGGTTAAGGTTTTTAGCTTCCAGTCAGCATAATGAAGGGAAGTTATGACAGTACAAAGTTGATATCACATGTATTCTGCCCCTTTTTAACTTTCCACTGTTCATTACAGCATGAATAGCAAACACCATACCACAAAAATAATAATGTATTAAAACAGTGGAAACAAGTAAATTGTCATTGGGTGCACAGCCAAATTTCAGCTAAAATGATATTTCAAAATGTGAACAACAAAGTGAATGTCATTCCTTCAGTGCACTGCGTGCATCTGCGTACAGGGGCGGATTAACGCACAGGCTAGATATGGCTTAAGCCTAGGGGCCCCACGTGTGCCAGCCTGCAAGGGGGCCCCCATTGGCGCGGAGGGGGCGGGGTTGGGGGGCCCACAGACTACTGTAGCCTAGGGGCCTCTGTACACCTTAATCCGCCCCTGTCTGCGTAGCCAGTCCATTTGTAACAGAGGGAAGCTTATCAGACTCGTACGCCTGGCTCTTTCATGATAAGGTCATGTACGGCGTTGGTTTTCAGCCTTAACACTGGATAATTTACAGGAAATGATATAATACTGAGGCGTTTCAGGTGGACAGAGAGGGAGGTGCTTTTTAAATGTCTTCAAAAAGAAAATGAGGATCTCACTGACTCTAACACTCATTCAGTCACAGGCCGGGCCTCTCGTACCTGTAGAACTCTCCCAGCCATTATTACAGACATTCGGCCGCACATGATGATGGGAAGGGAGACCAATGCACCTGCTTACCTCTATTGCACTAGGCACTACACAGCTCCCCAAATGGCAATCGCCATGACAACCAGGGGCACTTTAATGCCCAGGGGGCTCTGCTAAAATCTGCTGTCTCTGTTGTCGGCATGAAGCTGGACACCTTGGCCACAGTGGCAGAGGAAAGGACTCTGAATGAACTGCTGGCCATTATGGAATGTCAGGCAGCCTCTGCACACTGTCATTAACAACCAGAGGAGTACGCTCAGTGACAGCATGCTACTCCTCACATCCAGAACTGACACGGTCATTAACAACCAGAGGAGTACGCTCAGTGACAGCATGCTACTCCTCACATCCAGAACTGACACGGTCATTAACAACCAGAGGAGTACGCTCAGTGACAGCATGCTACTCCTCACATCCAGAACTGACACGGTCATTAACAACCAGAGGAGTACG